TTTATTATTGTAAGCGCTCCTGATGTAAAACTTGGTCAAAACTTGGATGAATGAATAGCAATCTTCTTAGCAAGATTCGTATAATAATAATCCCTTGACTCGAATTAACCATTCCTCGTCCAATGATGAAAAAGACCAAAAAGGGGCACAATACAAATTCACGATAATCGAACCGATCTTCCTTCGAACGTTTTTGTGATAGTAATTGATATTTGATGGAATTGCGTGAATATCGAGAAATTATTAAAAGGGAAAAAATATATTTGAAGTTCAAAGTTAATAACAATTCTTTGCGATGATATTTGATGGAAATTGAAATATTGAGAAACTGTTGCGAGATTTTCGTAACCGGGAAGAATTGTAATCACCGTTGCAATTTATTTCAATAATTTACTTTAGATTCGAAAATTTCGTCTGAATAATTTTTCGTGCAAATTTATTATTGTAAGCGCTCCTGATGTAAAACTTGGTCAAAACTTGGATGAATGAATAGCAATCTTCTTAGCAAGATTCGTATAATAATAATCCCTTGACTCGAATTAACCATTCCTCGTCCAATGATGAAAAAGACCAAAAAGGGGCACAATACAAATTCACGATAATCGAACCGATCTTCCTTCGAACGTTACTTGCCCTTTTGAACCTTGTTCCAAGTAAAAATTTCCAATCGAACGCAACATCATCGAGTTCTTCGTCCTCGTTGAGAGGCAATAAAAGCATCGGGGCGGCGAACGAACGACTAACGAGCGGAGAATTACGGGATGAGCGTGCGAGGACACTGACCTCGCAGAAAACCGAATTTTGAGGGGGAAGAATTTTAACACGATCCCGTCAAGTGTTTCCTTAAAAGATCGTTAATCAATTGTGGGAACAAGAAACCAAACAGAGCACCAAAAACTCTCTAATTCCGTTGGCACCAAAACGTTCCTCGAGCCGCCACCAGAGCAAAGATCAACTTTTCATTGAGCTGGAGAAATAAAAAAAACGCTCCTCCCGATAAACTTATCCTCGGAAAAATCTTAAACGAAAAAAAAAGGATCTACGAAAAGAGGAGCGAAAAATTTCCTCTTCTGTTTCTTCTCTCTTCTTCTTTCACCTCGAAGAGAACGTATCTCGAGAATCGCAGATACGTAAGATTTCGCAAGATTTTTGCGGCCGACTAAACGCTAAATATAAAACCGTCGGGCGGAAGCTTCCACTTCCGACGACGCGTTATGAACAAGCCTTCGTTCGACAACTATCATGCCGACGTTCTAATTGCGACACCAATCCATCCAACCAATCTGCAAGTTTTTCTCCATCTTAACCGTGAGGCTCGATCCCGAAATTATATATTAAAAATTACGTTGCATCGAATTTTGGGACGAATAAAGGGGATTTTATATATATATATCGTCGATATATGTTAAACACGGATTAAACGCGCAGAAATTTTCTTCAAAACCGATCCGACATGTATCTTTTCTCCTGCACAGGAGGGATAAGAATAGCGAATATCAAACAAGTTTCTCCAAAGATCGAACAAAGTTGATGGAGAATCCACGGAGCGTTAGAGACACGGTTTTCTTTCAGAAAGGGGGGGGGGGAGGAGGAGGGGGGAGGGGGTCGGCGTCGGTCTTGTATATTTACGCATACCGCGGGCCTCGACGTAACGCAGGACGGCACCGCGCCGCGACGCTTTTCGCGTCCCGCTGTATATTTCTTCAAGCACGCACACACGACGTCCACTCTCACGAAATTCGAGGCGTTATATTTTTCGCATCGACGCAAACGGCCGAGTTATAACGCGGGTTCGTAACGACCGCCATTTCACGCTTCTCATTTTCTTTTTAAACTTCGTTCGAGACGATCTCTTCCAACCTCTTTCGCTTTCGATCGTGGATGGTTTTTCTCGATTCTTTTCTTTTTCGAGTAAGATTTTATTTTGGTCACACAACTGAAAATATTACTGCTAGCAACTATTCAATTAAATACAATTTCAGTGAACTTTATATCGTCTGTAACGATTATTAGACGATTCTTCCTAACCTCTGTCTTCCAAGCCTAGAAGAAAATAATTCTTCCACGGGTTTATTTGATACTTTTCCCCCCTTTCTTCTTTTCGTTGTTTGCTGGTTGTTAAGTCATGTTAATGCCTCTTAATGTCTATAAAAGTGCGAGCACATTTCTGTTTTCTTTGTTGTTTATAACAGGTTAGACGAAATATTTTTGGAAAACGTTGCGTAAACGTTGCACCGAATATTCGAGGGAGAGAAAAAAGAAGGAATCTTAATTTAAACTTTTTGAACCGAAACAGACGAGTCTCGGTTGTAAACATTCTCTTCGCCGAGCTTCGTCCAACCAACGAGGTTTCCAAAGATCCTTAAAGATCCGATTCCCAATTTCGATAAAAATGAATGGTTCGAGAGAGGAAAAAACGATCTCGTCTTTCGATTCGGAACAAGAAACGCAAGAAACGCGAAAGAGAAACACGTCGATTCGTCGTCCAACAATGAGGATGGGGAAAAATATGAAACGACGGAAATCGCCGCTTTCCTTATTCCTTATTCATAAGTCGAGTTGTTTTCTAGAATCGAGAGAGGGGGGGGGGGGGAAGGAGAAAAGGAACGATTTCTTCTCAACGTTGAATTAACGACGGTCTTACGGCCGTCGAGACGTTAATGAAGAAAATAATATATATGGCGCGGTGTTCGCGTCGACGCGACAGAAGAAATTTATAGTAGTAGGAAAGTATTTCCTTTTTTTCGCATCCAATCTTCTTCTTCCGTCGTCCTCTCGTTTATTTTATATTCTTCTTGCTGGATGTCGGTTATAAGAACACCTCTCGCGAGAACGCGTGACTTTTCATGCGTGAAATACTCATTAGCCAGCTCCACTAACGAATCAATTAGCAGGATTCTTCTTCTGTTTCTCTTCTTCTTCTTCTTCTTCTTCTTCTTCGCTTTCTTAATTTCGTCTCTTGATTTTTTTTTTTCCAACATTTGACCGAAGCCACTACTCGATAATAGACATACGTTTCTCCGTTACGTGGAAACGTTTGTTTTTATCCATTTGCCTTAAAAATTAACCGGAGATCCAATTTGGAAGAAGAGCCAATTCTACCCTAAACAAGTAACACTTCCACTTTGAATTTTTCGCTTATTTCTTCTTCTCGACGAAACACGATACATCGTCTAAACAAATTTTCCCATCGGTTTCTTCTTTTCCTTGCAAATTGCAATCACGATTTTTCTTAATATTCGAATCCGAAATCACTTCCAATCCTCGATCTCGGTTCCCTCGCAACGACATTAAACCCGGTTCGTTATCGTTAACGAGCGAGATTGGTCGGTAATTCCATTCCCTCATTAATCGGGATCGATTCAACGCGTTTCGCCGCGACAACTCGTCTAGAACTAATTATTGCGCTAAAGAGAATAAATCGGTCCGCCTATTCTTATTAATCGAGCGCGAGGAGGGACTTATTACGTAAGCCGGCCTTCCACGAATAAACATTTTTTTTATTCTTTCGGAATTGTTATTATAAGCTTTCGCGTTGCAATTAGGAAGAGAAATATTCGTCCGTCTTTTTTATTCTTCTTCTTCTTCTTCTTCTTCTTCTTCTTCTTCTCTTCAACATCTCGGTAATATAAATTTGATTCGAAGCGGATTAATCGATCGATTTGCGAATGGAGATCGGCGCACGGAACATTGTGCACGATTTTTGAAACGCCTCGTTGCACGAGCGGCCTTGACACACACGAGCGGGATTTTTTTTTGCGTGATTTTTCTCTTTTGTTGACGTCACGGGTGAAAAAAAAAAAAATTGATCGATCGTGCATAAAACGATTTATAATTTATAAGCTCTCTCTCTCTCTCTC